GATGGATGGATGGATGGATGGATAATTGATGTAATTGATTTAATGGCACAATAATTTATTTGTCAAACTTCTTTTTGACCCTATAATTTATTTTAATACGCCAGTTATATATTTATACATTTATTTCCAATAATGATAGGTTTGGTCCTCCATACTATGGAGCCTATAATTTATTTTAATACGCCAGTTATATATTTATACATTTATTTCCAATAATGATAGGTTTGGTCCTCCATAGAAATCCTTGTCTATGGTAGAAATCCCAGACGGAGCAGTGAAGGAAACTAGAATTGAGCTGAACTGTAGGAAGGCAAGGGCCAGACTAGTCTTTGAAGGACCAAGCATAGGGTTTCAATCAGGTTCAGGTTCTGGTTCTGGACTCGGCATGGGAGAGTGAGACTTACTCCATCAGGATGAATCCCAGCAGAACACTCCACACAGCAGGCCTGTTTGATCAGCTCCCTGGCAGCTTCCTCATCTCCACATTCATATGCTGCTTCAATCTTCTCCAGAGAGGAAAGAGGAACCGTTTCAGAGACCGCTTCAGTGGTCTCCACCTGGGGAGCCTCACTTCCTGTTTCCTGTCCAGCACCTGATGAGCCAAAGACAAGAGAAGAGACAACAGACTGACTGAAATAATAGTTCTAATCAACTTCCTGTCAATAGGTGTACTCACAGACATGAAAAGTAGACCCTGCTCAGGCTGCTGGGGCACATAACATACAGCCACCATCTTGGAGAGGTCATACTCAGCTGTAGTTAATTCTATCACCTTAACAAAAGTAAGATACATCTGATGTTCCATTCACAGCACTAGAGTCAGACAGAACATCCGACTGGAATAACTTTCAAACAAGCTTACTCACAACTTCAGCAGCTTTGGTTCATAATAAACAGATTTTAAATCAAAACAGGAGTTTTGTTGTTGGAAGGTTATAAGAAATTTGATACAGTATGTGTATGTCTAACAATATTTTTGTGTAKACTGTGTAACGGTGCATTGTGCTGGGCAGTGGTCGAAGGCGAGGACCTTGGCAGTCCGATCCTCGGCTACAGAAGCTGGCTCTAGGGACGTGGAATGTCACCTCTCTGGTGGGGAAGGAGCCTGAGCTGGTGTGTGAGGTTGACAGGTTCTGACTAGATATAGTTGGACTCACCTCGACGCACTGCTCTGGTTCTGGAACCAGTCTCCTTCAGAGGGGTTGGACGCTCTTCCACTCTGGAGTTGCCCATGCTGAGAGGCGATGAGAAGGAGTCGGCATACTTATTGCCCCTCACCTTGGTGCCTGTATGTTGGGGTTTACCCCGATGAATGAGAGGGTAGCCTCCCTCCACCTACGTGTGGGGGGACAGGTCCTGACTGTTGTTTGTGCCTATGAGCCTAACAGCAGGTCAGATTACCCACACTTTTTGGAGTCCTTGGAGGGGGTGCTGGAGAGCGCTCCTAACGGGGACACCCTCATTCTGCTGGGGGACTTCCAACGCTCACGTGGGTAATGACAGTGAGACCTGGAGGGACTTGGGAGGAACCCCCCCCGATCGGAACCAGAGCAGTGTTTTGTTATTGGACTTCTGTGCTCATCATGGATTGTCCATAACAAACACCATGTTCAAACATGAGGGTGTCCACGTGTGCTCTTGGCACCAGGACACCCTAGGCCGCACCTTGATGATCGACTTTGTTGTTGTTTCATCTGATCAGTGGCTGCATGTCTTGGATACTCGGGTGAAGGGGGGGGACTGTCAACTGGGCAGCTCTGGCGGAATGGTTAGGGGAGTCGTCCTGGAACTGGAAGGTTGATGGTTCAATCCCCGGTCCAGCCATTTCAGTTGTTGTGTCCTTGGGCCAGACACTTTACCCGCCTTGCCTAATGATGGTGGTCAGAGGGTCTGCTGGCGCCGGTGCAAGGCAGCCCCACCTTTGTCAGTGTGTCCCAGGGCAGCTGTAGCTACAACGTAGTTTGCCATCATCAATGTGTGAATGTGAGTGCAAATGGGTGAACGTCTGTAAGTGTAAAGAGCTTTGGGGTCCAGAGGGACTCGATAAAGCGCTCTATAAGTTCAGTCCATTTACCATTTAACTGACCACTACCTGGTGGTGAGTTGACTCTGATAGTGGGGGGGGATGCCGGTCAGACCTGGCCCAAACGTATAATGAGGGTCTGCTGGGAACGTCTGTCAGAGTCTCTCATCAGACTGAGCTTCGACACACCTCCCGGAGAACTTTCAACACGTTCCGGGGGAGGTGGGGGACACTGAGTCCGATTGGGCCATGTTCCGTGCCTCCATTGTCGAGGTAGCTTACCTGAGCTGTGGCTGTAAGGTTGTCGGTGCCTGTCATGACGGCAACCCTTGAACCCGCTGGTGGACATTTGCGGTGAGGGATGCTGTCAGGCTAAAGAAGGAGTCCTATCTGGTCTGTTTGGCCTGTGGGATTCCGGAAGCAGCCGAAAGGTATCGACAGTCCAAGTGAATTGCGGCTCTAGTGGTCGCTGAGGCAAAAACTCAGGCATGGGAAGAGTTCGGAGAGGCCATGGAAAAAGACTTCCGTATGGATTTGAGGCAATTCTGGTCCACCATCCAGCGTCTCGGTGGGGGTGGGAGTGGTTCACCACCAACACTATTTATGGTGGGGATGGTGCGCTGCTGACCTCAACTCAGGACGTTGTGGGTCAGTGGGCAGAATACTTCAAAGACCTCATCAATCCTACCGACACATCTTCAGATGAGGAAGCAGAGCCTGAGGACCCTGGGTCACAGTCTCCAATCTCTGGTGCCAAGGTCACTGAGGTAGTTAAAAAGCTCCTTGGTGGCAGGGCGCCGGGGTGGATGAGATTCACCAAGTTCCTTAAGGCTCCAGATGTTGTGAGGTTGCGTTGGTTGACACAACTCTACAATATTGCGTGGACATCAGGGGCAGTTACGCTGGATTGGCAGATCGGGGTGGTGGTCTCCCTATTTAAAAAGGGGGACCGCAGAGTGTGTTCCAACTATAGGGGGATCACACTTCTGAGCCTCCCTGGTAGGATCCAGTCAGGGGTCCTGGAGAGGAGGGTCCATTGGATGGTCGAATCTTGGATTCAGGAAGAACAGTGTGGTTTTGGTCCTGGTCGTGGAACACTGGATCAGCTCTACACCCTCAGCAGGGTCCTGGAGGGTGCATGGGAGTTCGCTCAACCAGTCTACATGTGTTTTGTGGACTTGGAGAAGGCGTTCGACATGTCCCTTGGGGACACTTGTGGGGGGTACTCTGGGAGTATGTGGTACCAGGCCCATTGATACGGGCTGTTAGGTCCCTGTACAACCAGTGCCAGAGCTTGGTCCGCATTGCCGGTACTAAATTGGACTCATTTCCAGTGAGAGATGGACTCCGCCAAGGTTGCTCTTTTTCATGGATTTCATGGATGTTCATAACTTTTAAGGACAGAATTTCTAGGAGCAGCCAAGGTGTTGAGGGGATCCTTTTTGGTGACCTTAGGATCACATCTCTGCTTTTTGTGGATGATGTGGACCTATTAGCTTCATCAGATCCTGATCTCCAGCTCTCAATGAAGCAGTTCACAGCTGAATGTGAAGCAGCCGGGATGAGGATCAGTGCCTCCAAATCCCAGACCATGGTCTTGAGCTGGAAAAGGGTAGGGTGCCTTCTCCGGTCGGGGAGGAGGTCCTGCCCCAAGTGGAGGAGTTTAAGTATGATAGTGATGCGGGCGCTGTACCGGTCTGTCATGGTGAAGAGAGAGCTGAGCCAGAAGGTGAAGCTCTCGATTTACCAGTTGGTTTACATTCCAAACCTCATCTGTGGCCACAAGCTTTGGGTAGTGACCGAAACAACGAGATCATAAGCAGCTAAAATAGGTTTCCTCTGCAGGGTGTCTGGGCTCTCCCTTAGAGATAGGCTGAGAAGCTCAGTCATCCAGGARGGACTCAGAGTAKAGCCGCTGCTCCTCCACGTCCAGAGGAGCCAGTTGAGGTAGTTCATCTGGTTAGGATGCCTCCTGGACTCCTCCCTGGTGAGGTGTTCTGGACACGTCCCACTGGGAGGAGACCCAGAGGAAGACCCAGGACACGCTGGAGGGACTATGTTTCTCAGCTGGTCTGGGAACACCTTGGGATTCCCCCAGAGGAGCTGGTCCAAATGGCTGGAGAGAGGGAAGTCTGGATCTCTGCTGAGGCTGCTGCCCCCGCAACCCAACCCCGGATTAGAGGAAGAAAACAGATGGACGGACACTGTGTAGACATCTGCCATACACTGTATATTACAGCGGGTAAAATAAGTATTGAACACGTCACCATTTTTCTCAGGAAATATATTACTAGAGGTGCTAATGACATGAAATTTTCACCAGATGTCGGTAACAACGCAAGTGATCCATACGTACAAAGAAATCAAACCATAAATGTCCAGAAATGTGTTACGATGTGTGGTGGTGGAGGAGCGAACCCAGTTCCAGGCGGAGAATTAAGTTGTTAGAAGTAAAAGATTTA